GACTGAAGCCGCTGTGGGACGAAGCCCAGGGCTCAGTGGAGGTAACAGCAGCCTCTCCAAGGTCACTAGTGAGGAGACAAGGATGTCCAGTCACGACCAGCTCCCCATCGTCCATAACCAGCACGCTGACTCTAAAGAGGCTCGGATATTGAAAATGCAGTGTGTTTAATGATCAATGACACATGGCAGCTCCATCTGGCCTGTGAGAAGCCTCCCTGTCAGCCTGGCCATCCTCCCATCTCCCCATGGGGTGGCTTCCCTGGGGGGCTGCGCCTGTCCCCTCCCCATGCTGCTCCTCGCCACAGCGCCCCAGTGGCCCCAGTGCCCTCCGGCCCGCAGGCCCTTCCCTGGGTGTGGGGTGGGAGGAGTGGCCCACACCAGCTCCCCAGTGACCCTCGCCCGCCCCCGCTTGGCACTGCCACCACAGTGGTGTCTTCATTTTGGAATTGTGGCCTGGGGATTTGTTTCTGTTGAGATGCCTCTGGTGCCTGCGGGTTTTCCATGTGGAACACTGACAGCCGAAGTCTAGGGCGTGTCAATTACCTGAGCAATGAGGATGGGTTACTTTTATTTTCAAGATCGTTTTGCAGCTCTCTTTCGGTCGTGCGCGTGAGTCTTCCCTGGCCTGGCAACTTTGCTTCTGATTTTCCGTGAATGTCATTAGAGATGAACCAGGAGTTACAGTCTTTGTTTCTCAGGGAATGCCAGTCCCAAGAGCAAGCCATCCTCGTGCCGCACGTGTGTGCGCTGCGTTCTCAGTGATGACTGCGGTTTTCCTCCCTCTGGGGTCTAAGCGCCCCCCTTGTGATGAGGACTGGAGCCTCACAGGTTAAACGCAGGAAACTCTTCCAGGCGGAAATGGCAGTTTGTGCTCTGATCTCGGTGATGCTTTAACCATTAGAGAATTATTTTTAACACCTTAAATCCATCAATTGCAATGGAAACTTGAAAAGGCTATGGGAAATATTTTAATTGCTCTATCTAAAAATGAGAATAAAAGAAAGGAACTAGCTGCTGAACACACCAGGCAATCTTCTTGCCCTCACTGTTAGAATTGCCCTATTCTTTGCCTCTCCTGATCACTCGAACATGAAAGGTACTAAAATATTTTCAGGTAGGACTAGTTGGCCACCGTTCCACATTCTCACGAGGAAAGTGTGATTATTTCATGGTGCAGCTGGTGGAGATTGAACTGAAAATCTGAGCTTGCCCAGATTGAAATGGCTCCAGCCCTGTGGTTAGTGCGACCCACATTTAGATGGAGGTGACAGTCAGGCGGGTCCGTCAGACTCAGGCGTGATGCTGAATTCCTGGCTCAGGTCCCAGACCTAGCGAGGCCGATGTGTTCGCAAACACTGATCTGTGTGCACCTCCGTATTTTCTAACACAAGATAAATTCAAGCACGTGTTTATATGTTTGTATTTCTAACACAGAGAATGAAGAAGTGACTGTTTTCTACCTGGATGTATTACACAATTTTGTGACTTTCTTTTTAGACCTGTGAGCTCAGAGGCACCTTGGTTATGCCTAAGGCTGAGTTTTTTCTTTGTGTCTCTGTTTTCCAGAAGAGCTGAGAGCACAAGAAATCTGGGAGTTAGGGAAAATATCGGGAGTGTAAAAGGAATGAGTGGGTCCACCTCGGGTCAGTCAGGAGTTGGCCTGGTGGACTATTTGTTTTCGAGTAAAATTCAAGTCAGGGTATGTGTTGACTTGGGGCCTCGTGTTTGACACGGGAAAGTGTCGAGAGGCCATGAGTAGAATCTCACTGCTGCGCTGGGGGCTCACTGACCATGGGAGGAGAATGTCTGTCAACTTGCCACACACAGCAGGTTCTCCTGGAGAGACAGGAGAGGCACACATGGCTGTCAGCGTTGTAAAGAAGAGATTTCAACAGCCCACAGTGAGGACCGGGAAAGGCTGAGCTGTGGGAAACCAGACATTTTCATTGCTTGATGCTTCAGAAGCCTTGCATTGCTCTTAGAACCGTGTAGGTCAGCAGCTTCCTGCAGCGTGCTCTCGCTGTGTCCAGGGCCAGTGCTCTGAGAGCTCGAGATTCCCCAGGTAAAGCCTTGCTCGCTGGGCTGCACAGACAGGCTGAGGTCAAAGCACAGAAGAAGCTGCTCCGTGGCAGTGTCCTGGGGCGAGGCAGGAGCGAGGCCAGCGTGGAGAAGGCATGGCTTGGGCCACGTGCGCTTTGATGTAACAAAGCGCTTTGTAAAACTCCCAACTTCAGAGATTTGTCGCTTGAAGTGTAATAGTTTCTGTACAGGTTTTGGAAACGTAAGTTTGTGGGTTACTTTCCAGGACTTTTTTTCTTTTTTGTTAATTTCACGTAGGCACCACAAATACGATCAAAACAAACAATTGTAAACTTTGAGGCTGTGACTGGGCTCGGTCCCCTCACTACCGAGGAGTGTAGGATACTCTTGAGCTTCAGAAAGACCCACAGGACTGTCTGCAAAACTCCGAACCGCCCAGGGAGGTCCGCTGGCTGCTGCGCCAAGCTCGGACAAGTCGTGGCGGGACTTTGGAGACTAACCTGGTAAACAGATTGGGGTCAGCGAATTCTTCAGCTATCAGTGAATTCTTCAGGGGTCAGTGATTCAAAGTTCTTGATTCTAGGTTGTCTGCCTCTTGTCAGTGTCACTTAGGGAGACTAGAAGGTGATTTATTTACTCCAGGAGCACCTTCATCACTTTTCATGCCGACCTCAGAAAAGCATCGCACATTGTCACCGAGTTTCTTGCCATTTACTTATCGTGTGCAAACTGGCATAATTGAGAGAATCCTTTCTTTTGTTCTGAATTGATGGTAAAACATTTCTGGAAGTGTATTTTATTTTGAGAGTCACTTCCTGGGTTATTTGATGAAATTTATATATTTACCCAAATATTTTAGATTGCTTTCTAAGCAAGCATTGTTTATCTCATTCATGGGAAAAAATGAGTGACCAAATTCAATTACAAATCATTTGATAGGTAAATAAAGCCTGATTTTTTAAAAACGCACTCGGCTTTTAAAATAAAGTTTTGAAATAATTTCTGTTCAGCCACGTCAGTACAGCTTTGCTTTGCTGTCAGGACTCCATTGAATCTTATGGAAAGAGTTATCATGTTGGAAAACCAACAGTGGCAACGATGATGTTGATGATGAATAACTGGTATTTATTCATTACTTGCAGAGTGCCAGGTATCATTCCACGGGCCTCGTATGTGTCCACAGATTCATTCCCTCAGTAACTCTAAGAGGCAGGGACAACGATCCCCATTGTACAGACGAGGAAGCTGGGGCGGTGAGCCTGAATCTTGCTCACAGCGGCAGAGTCCGAACGCGGGGGAACCAGGCACTGAGCCTTCAGTGCTGCCCTCCCGGTTCCTTCACTAAAGATGAGAATTGCAGCTCAAGTCTCACCCTGAGGTCTGGGACTGAGTTGTCTTCTCCACATGGTGTTTCTAGGTCTAGCCCAGGCCCTGGCACATAGAAGCTACACAAAAGTATTAGCTGAACGAACATCAGTTTACCTGAGGGAGGGTAGGTCCACATGGTGCCTGTCATAGAGGATTTCTGGAGGTTGAAATGACATGTATGACAATACAGCTCAGAAAACTAAGAGCAGAGCATGTTTTGATAGTGGAGGCAGCGATTAAGCCCCTTTGTTTTTTCAATACTAAATAAGACTCGGTGTTTTGTGGATTCGGTCTTATTTTTCAGACTCCAGGGAAGAGAAAAGATGCAGTGAGCCTCTTCTTGTGGTCAGGCCGATCTTCCCCATCTTCTGTTTGCTGAAAGCGTCTCTGCCAAACATAAGCTCTTATTTGGGTTAATGTGAAAGCACTGATTCTCTAATAATTATTTTCCCTCTTTTAACCTGCTGTCATGTTTGCTAACAAGACCATCAGCAGAGCAGAGTTAATTAAAGGCTGGATTGCGAGAGAGGATGGGCCATGACTAATGGCTCCCGAGAGCACGGAGGAGTGTTTGGAAAGAGAGGAACTCTCTTCAGCCACCAGGACCACATCGTTCCATTACTTCATTTTCACTTTATGAGGGATGTTTTCTCGCTAGCATCATATGATGAAACTCCTCCTGCCACTCCTGTGAACGGCTGGGCCTTATCGTCAGTGACACTCTGTCAAAAAAAAAGCTACTCTTAAACTAGTAATAAAAACAAAATATGCACAAAACATCAACATAGAAAATTACAAAGTGTTTGTGAAGGACACAAAAGATAATCTTAAAGAAGGAAAATGTTATCTTCATGATGCAAAAAGGAAATTTGTCCCAAATCACCTGTAAATATAACGCAATTCAAAATACCAAAATGTCTCAGTGTGGTGGCACACACCTGCAGTCCTAGCTACTTGGAAGGCTGAGGTGGGAGGAGCTCTTGAGTCCAGGGTTTTGAGGTTGTAGTGAGCTATGCACCACTGCACTCTAGCCTGGGTGACAGAGTGAGACCCTGTTTCTAAAAACAAACAAAAATAGCCAAAATGACTTTTTAAATGAAACTTCACATGTTGATAGTAGAATTCACATAGAAGAGCAAAATGTCAATCATGGCCGAGGCAGTTTTGAATAATCATAAATGTGCAGTCTCTCCTTGACAAATCTTTTTATTATTAAAAAGCTAATTAACACAATATGATATTACCAATAAAAAAAAAACAGTTAAATGGGGGTCAGGCCCAGACCTGCGCCACCTCAAGACGTAAAGTGTAACATGGGGGTCGGGGTGGGCAGCGTGGGCCTGTGAGGCCTGTGGGTGTCCTCATCCCCCCCACCCTCCTCCCCGCAGTTGGTTCCACAGTGGTCTGCTCCGGTTGCCGCGTGTGGATTCGGGTGCCAGACTGAAGGCTACCTGTTCCCCAGTGCCCTCCGCCGCCCCCGCCCCTGTCCACAGCTCCCCCCGCAGGCAGTTCCGCAGTGGTCTGCTCCAGTTCCATATTCCAAGTGCTGGGGTTACTGCGGCGACCAGCAGAACAGCCTTGGCGCTGTGTAGGAGCCCGGAGCTACTCCTGAGCCCTACCTGAGGCTGGTCATGGAGAAGCTACACAGGATTGTGGCAGCACAGCTGGAAAGTATGGTATCAAATTCTAATGGTTTTCCATGGGAATTAGTGATATGGGCAGGTGTTATTGGATTTTTTGCTATTCCCCTTTTCTTGTGGAGAAGTTTTAGATCAGTCAGGAGTCGGCTATATGAGGGAAGAGAGAAAAAGCTTGCTGTAGAGCTTTGTGAGCAAATGAAAGAAAAATGTAAACTACTTGAAAAATTTAGTTTTCTACAAAAAAGCTGTGAAGGCTATGAAAGAGAGTCATCTTTACAGGACGTCAGCTTTGAGAAGCAGGCAGCAGAAGCACACAGTTTGGAGGCAGCCTGTGAAAACCTGAACAGGTGCATTTCTGAAATGGAGGACGAAATACCGTATCTAAAAAAAGAGTTAAAAGAAGAGAAATACAAACATTCTAGACAACATCAGTTGGTGGCAGATATTTCAGAAATAAGACAGTCTCTAGAAGATCTGTCAAAATCCCTTAAATTTCAACTAGCTGAAGCCAAAATGCCCTTGAACATATTTCAAATGAATGGGGAACAACTGAAGATAGTGATAAAAGATGCTTTGAATGAAAATTCTCGACTTCAGGAAAGCCAGGAACATCTTTTGCAAGAAGCTGAAGTGTGGAAAGAACAAGTGAGTGAACTTAATAAACAGAAAATAATATCTGAAGACTCCGAAGTACACACAGAACAAGTTCTAAATGACAAAGACCATCACATCAAGACGCTGACTAAACACTTGCTGAATATGAAAGATTGGGCTGCTGTGCTTGGAGATGACATGATGGATGATCATAACTCGAAAGTAGAGATGAAGAGTGAATCAGAAAGTGGCGCTTCCTTAGCTGATCCTCCAAAAGGAGCTTTGAAGAAACTGATGCATGCTGCTAAGTTAAATGCTTCTTTAAAAAGTGTAGAAGGTGAAAGAAACCAAATTTATATTCAGTTGCCTGAAACTGATAAAACAGAGAAGCAGCTTATGGGGCATATTAAACATCTTCAGCCTGAACAAGCGTCTTTGCAGTCTGGAAACACAGATTTTGAAAGTGAGAATCAGAAACTTCAACAGAAACTTGAAGTAATGACTGAATTACATGAAGAAATGACAATAAGACTTTACAAAACATTCACTGTAGAGGAAAATGACCAGTTAGAGAGACAAGGAAAACTTTCTAAACAAGATGAATATATCAGCTATACCACTGACCAGCTGGACAAGTATAGAAAGCAAGCCCAACATCTTGAAGAAGAGTTGGAAAGAATGATTCTTTCTTATCAAGAGCAGGTTTTACTCCTTAAGAAAAAAGCACATGACAACTGGTTGGCAGCTCAGACTGCTGAAATAAACCTCAATGGATTAAGGAAAGAAAATGCTAAGTACAGACAAAAATTAGCTGACACAGAGATGAAATTCAATTTTTTACAGAAATATCCTTCCGCAGTTGATGTTCCAAACACAGGATTTGGCAGAGAGCATTACACATATGTTCCTGATACGAGAAGAGGAACGCCTTTCCCCCCACCTCCTCCAGGAGCCCTGTTTGGAGTTTCTCCACGTGATTTTCTACCAAGCGATTTCCCAGGTCCACCATATGCTCCATTTGCAGTGAGGAATGCCTATCCATCCAGGGGTTTTCCTCCAAATCTTCCACCAAGACCTGGCTTTTTCCCCCCAACTCCCAAATATTGAAGGTAAAAGTGAGTTCCTTGCAGGGTTGATTCCATCTTCTAATGACCCTGCTACTGAACAAAAATAATTCTGACTGAGCTCGAGTTCCCTTCAAGATACTTCTGCCTTCCGATAAGCCTGCTATTGAACATCCAAAACAACAGTAAGACAGCTGGCAGTCCTTGTGTTCTCCAAAGTAGTTGTTACTCACCTTGAGTCTCCATCAAGATTGATTCCAACTTAGAGTGAGCCTGCCACTGAACATCTGACATCACAACAACAAAGCTGGCGGTCTTTGTGTTCTCCTCCCAAGTAGATGTGACTGATCTCCAGTCCCCGTCAGGGTTGACTCTGCCTTCTAGTGAGCCTGCCATTGATCATCCCTCAACACAGCAAGAAAGCTGTTGGTTGTGTTCTCCACCCAAATAGTTCTAACTAATCTTGAGTCCCTGACAGGTTGACTCTGCCTTCAAGTGAGCCTGCCACTGAACATCAGGCCCCACAGCAAGAAAGCTTGTGATCTTTGTGTTCTCCTCCCAAGTAGTTATGACTGATCATGAGTCCCCGTCAGGGTCAATATCACCTTCAAGTGAGCCTGCCAGTGAACACCTGGCATCACAGCAGGAAAGTTGGCGATCCTTGTGTTCTCCTCCCAAGTACTTTGGAAGGATATCGAGTCCCTGTCATGAGGAACCTTTGCCTTCAAGTGAGTCTGCACCTTAACAAACATCCAACAGCACAACAAGAAAGCTGGCAGTCTTGTTATTTTCCTCCCAACTATTTGTGACTGATCTCAAGTCCCCGTCAGGGTTGACTCTGCCTGCAAGTGAATCTGCCACTGAACATCCAGCACCACAGCAATAAAGCTGGTGTTCTTTGTGTTCTCCACCCAAGTAGTGTGACTGATCAGGAGTCCCTGTCAGGGTTGATACCACCTTGAAGTGAGCCTGCCAGTGAACATCTGGCACCACAGCAGGTCAGCTGGTGATCTTTGTGTTCTCCCAAGTACATTGACAGATCTCGAGTAATCATCAGGGTTTACTTTGCCTTCAAGTCAGTCTGCCATGGAATCAACGTCCGACACCACAGCAAAAAGGCTGGCAGTATTTATATTCTCCTCCCAAGTATTTGCTATCCATCTCAACTCCCAGTCAGAGTTGACTCCGCCTTCAAGTAAGCCTGCCACTGAACATCAGGCACCACCGCAAGAAAGCTGGTGGTCTTTGTGTTCTCCTCTTAAGTAGTGTGACTGATGTCATGTTCCCATCAGGAAAGACTTTGCCTCCAAGTGAGCCTACCACTGAATATCCAGCACCACAGCAAGAAAGCTGGTTGGCTTTGTGTTCTTCCCTTAAGTAGTGTAACTGACGTCCAGTTTCATTAAGGGTTGACTTTGCCATCAAGTGAGCCTGCCACTGAACATCTGGCACCACAACAAAAAAGCTGGTGGTCTTTGTGTTCTCCTCCCACATAGTTGTCACTGATCTGGAGTCCCCATTAGGGTTGGCTCTGCCTTAAGTGAGCCTGCTGCTGAACATCTGGTACCACAGCACAAAAGCTGGTGGACTTTGTGTTCTCCTCCCAAGTAGTTGTGACTGATCTTGAGTCCCC